CATGATAGAACGGATGATTGTTCCTGTAATGCAACGAATTACCCTCGTAGGATAAGAGGAACGGGCCGTCGCAGTGACGCAGAGGTCAGACTCTGACGCGAAATGGGGATTGGATCCATTTATGAGCCTTTCAAACGCCAAAAGAAGACCCAGTCAATCCGAGACTCGCAGCAAGATTTTTTGGTAAGTTGCATAGAACCATAAAGAGTCTCTTCGAATATGTCTTAGCCAAAAAGCTAAATGGTGCAAAAGATGCTACAATGTTGTAATGTTAATAGGACCCATATGCTGACGGGGAAGGCGGGGGTTGCATTCATGGATCTTCTCGGACGCAACGGAAGCTTGCCAGCGCATTGTAGATCGACCGACTATGACTAAAGAAATACCGCAACACAGACAGTGAAAGCCAATTGACAGAGACTTCCTTGCTTGGAGTACACGTGTATTAAGAAGTACGAATATACATATTTTGACGGAATGCGAACATTTCGCAAGCTCGTTGGCAACGACTTGCATATTAACGGCTTGGTAGAAAGTTTTCACCAAGAGCCAAGTTCCCACCTATCCTCTTTACATAGGGGCTAAATGAAGTTCAACTTCTATCAAGCTATCAAGCATTGTTTTTGAATTCATACATGGAACGCAAGCCTGCCATGGGGTTGAAAGACAGCGAGTATAATTGAACTCAAAGACTGCTCTTTTCTACACGAGAAGAAAAACCTGAGATGCTCGTAGCCTTCGGTAAAAGTAATAAACGGCCCGAAAGACGGGCCACGGCCTGCGCGGCTGTGTCTCGGCGTCGCCGACCCCGCGCGCGGAAACCCCGTCCCGGGAATGAACTTTAAACTTTGCCTCCCGTAGCAACTGCGGAGTGAACGGGTCTTATTTTAGCCAAGCAGCGCAACGCATTCTGTGAACTCCAGATTAGCCCTACTTGCGAATCATACTCATCATATTAGGGATCAGCACTCTGAACAAGGCTGTGAAACGAGGGGCTTTCCGTGCGGGCGGCAATGGGGTCTTTTCTCCCCATTTTCTCAACTTGACTAGTGTGCGATTCGCGAGGCTCATTCCAAGCAAGATTCTCAGTGAAGTCGCTTTCGGTATTGAACATCGCCTTTCCTGAAGATGCCCTTGATCATCCATAAACAGCGCAACTCAGTAAGTGCCAAGACCTGTACTTGAGTTATAGCGAGTGCTGTTAGTCGATGTGAGGTATAGCTTTATAGGGTATAACAGGGATCATGATAGCTCGATATTGCCGAAGCGTGTGCTTTGCGATGCAAATGCCTGCCCTGACTCAACCATGCGCCGCGACGTGCTACACGCATTCTCTCCCTTTTCCAGGGAGCCAAGCATTGCAGCACAGCTACTCAGGCCTGTATTTTCGCGATCACCGCCTTAACCAACTTGTGGGTGGCAGTAGTCAATCCTTGTGCGGATCGCCCGGTGCAGAGTAGACTTTGCAATTAATGAAGTTGAGTTTAGAAATTTGCGCGCCAAGGCCGCTCGCATCCTCAAGTCTCTAGATTGTGTGATTGAGGGAATTGAATGTATGGCGACGGACATTGAGTCCACTTCCGTGACTTCTGTAGAATTTAGTATGTTTGTTTGTATAAAACTTGTCAGTCTTCGCAAACCAGGGACAACGCAGCAACCATCGAGAATCACTTTCGTCTGCGTCTATGGCTAGTCGCGTCGGTCTGTGACTTTGATACTTCCATCATTGTCCAATATGTCGCGTTCTTCGACACTCTACGACCGCCAACATGGCGTCGAGCTGGGCCTTGGATCGCACGCCGGCTCGGAGGAGACGCTTGCGCCCAAAGGCGTTCATCCTCGATCGTGGGGACGCGCTCGAAAGACGTGGGACACGAGCTTGGTTGTGTTCCTCGAGTTCTTCACGTAAGAAATATTTGCCCCTCTCTTCAGACTCCTGGTGCTAACTTCAGCAGGACAATGGTCAGCACTGCAGGAGTAGGTCCCACCGATATCAGAGCGGATGTCATAATGAATGCTGACTTGTTCAAAAGACGCCTGTCGCTGCGCATCTGCATCATGACCTTGGTGTCAGCCCTGTTGTAGCAACTTGCATGTTTGTCTCAACGTAAGTGTCAACTCTCGAAATGCCCACAGACAGATGTACTAAGATAAAAAAAAAAAGATATCTCATCGGCCAAACTATCGGCGGGGCTGTCTTTCCCCCCTTCTCCGAGTCCTTCGGCCGCAAGAAGCTCTACGTCATCAGCACTGTCTTCTACAGCTTGTTCTGCATCCTCATCGGAAAGGTCCCTACCATCGCCGGGATTGTGGTGGGCCGTTTTGGCAGCGGGTTTCTTTCTGCCATCCCGACGGTGATTGCGACTGGAAGTATTGAGGACCTATGGGATACGCACGCGCGAGTGTGGTGGATGTTTTGGTGGGCGTTGCTGGCCAACCTTGGTATCCTGGCGGGACCTGTCTTTGGAGAGCTGATTACGGCGCAGGCTGCTTGGTACGTAACCACTTTCTCTAGTCTTTGGGTGCCTCGACTAACCTTCATCAGGCAATGGGTCTTCTATGCCGCAGCAATTGTGACAGCAGTTGTGGCAATCCTCTTTCTGACTATCAAGGAGTCGCGTCCGTCGGTGGTGCTGGGTCATGCGATGGCTAAGGATGATGCCGAAAGCAAGAGCAGCAAGTGGCACATCCCACTGAGCTACGAAAAGTTCGACATTGTCCGACCTCTTCGGCTGCTATTCACCGAGCCGATCGTGTTCTTGGTGGCTTTCATCAGCGCCATTGCGTTCGGGCTCATCTACCTTTTCACAGAGGTATTACCAATGGTCTACGAAGAATTGGGTTTCACCGACGGCTGGAAGAACATCCCCTTCCTTGCTCTATTCATTGGTATGCTTCTCAGCGTACTTACCAGATTTTACGACCGCCACGTGCTGGCCAACGCGAAACTGCCCGTCTCCCCTGAGTCGAAGTTTACCGGGTATCTCATCGGAGCCCCGGCACTGGCCATCGGTCTCTGGTGGTTCGCGTGGACGATCCCTCCGTACGCATCTATCCACTGGATAGTTCCGACCCTGGCCCTCGTGCCGGTTGGGTATGCGGTCAACGAGTTTGACCACGTCTTGGCCGGGTACCTATCCGACTGTTACGAAACATACACGGCTAGCAGCTTCGCAGCGTTGGCGCTCACTCGATCTCTGTTCTGCGCATCATTCCCGCTCTTTGGCCGTATTCTGTTTGATGCGCTCGACTTTAACAGAGCTTCATCTTTGTTTGCCGCGTTAGCTACGGGTCTTTGCGTCGTACCGCCGATGCTGGTACGGTATGGTGCCTGGTTGAGAGGACGGAGCAAATACGCGCACAAGTGATTTTGCATTCATGGAGTTAGGTTACATAGCGAGAGGGAAATCAAAAGTTCACCGTTTTGTGAAGTTGGCGAATGCCCTCAGCATCATTACCGCAATGTGCTAAGTGACCAGACCAATGCGATACATCCACTCAATTCTCTTCCGTAAAACTCACGGCACTTTGACAAATATTACAGCCTCTACCGGAGCTCCAAACCTTTCTAGCCACCAAAAAAGCCGAATACTCCTCTTGGATTTAGGTGTCTTGGAATTGGTTGGTTTTATTTCAATGCCTGTATTGACAACACTCGATCGATCCTAGGGTACACTGCCATCACCTGCTGCGGCGAACCTGATGACCCCCCATACTGGAAACGAACATGAGAAGTGCGTATAATTAGTCCCAACGCTGTGGAATTCCTATGTTCCACACTCTTCCAAACTCGGCTGAATTTACAGATCTGTCAGACGCTACTTCTGACAAGCCTCCAACCTAATTACCACTTAAGTCGAATACACTCATTGGTATGATACCTGACATGGACTGGGCTGTATTGCTTCCTCGCACTAGAGCCAGGATGCTCACAAATCGTCGTTACTATTTTCGCAGCGATCGGGTTGGATCTTTGCCCATTCTCGGTTACTGGAAGGCTTGTTGCGCAGAAATGTTGATCATTGATGTTCCTCAGGACAATGCGTCAAGAAAATGCCAACGCTGGGTCTTGGTGTATTAATACTACTCTAGGAATGGGTATCTTTAAACAATGCTCTCCATCGCTTGCTCAAATCTTATCGCGGCAGTAACCCGTGGAAGCACCAGCAGCAACACATGACTACGCTTAGGTCAGCCCTTGTTTTCAAAATCACATTCATTGCGATGGAGCCGACTCACCTTTGTCCAGTCACAATTGTTGATAGCCTTCGATGGGATGAGGGCGATGAAGTTCTTCTTGTACCGGTAGCACTCCTTAAAATTTTGCCCATAGTAGCCGACCTCTCCGGAGTTGTCTGCGCACGCCTTGACAGTATCGTCGTCCCAGGGGACGTTGTCCTGAACCTTCCCTTGGAACTCGAAGTTGTCTCTCTCACACCTATGTTGCGAAGTTAGTCATGCGCATTGACCAATCAGTGATGGGGTGAGCCGTACCAGCAGTGCTTGTACTTGGCGCACGCTTCTGTTGAGGCGACGGCGAGCGCTGCGACGGCAAAAAGGGCTGAGAGCTTCATGATGGTCGATTTGAGTGGCAGACTTTCGATTTCGTTGAACGGCTGGATCTCTGCATTCTGGCAGGCGGATTGGTGTTAAATATGGACTTCGGACTTCTGGAAGACGGCATCCGAGTGCGAGTCAGCATCACCATCACCTGTGCTGGCTTTAAATTGCACAGCATCCCTTAGTGGGGGTACGAATGACTCGATATTAATTGACGTCTAAAATTATGGCTATTCGGGGCGTAGATCCCTTTAATAAATGGATTCTCATGCATCATAGTCTCGGGAGTAACGGGAGTAGTTGTCGAACCGATCACCGAGTGATAAGAGCAGCGTTAAGCCCACGTGGTTGCGCGGAGATGGGATGAGTCCGTGGCATGCCTCATCCACGTTCAAATCGCGTCTTTGCCAGAGATTATCAATTGAATCATCGCCGACATTTCAGTTGTACCACTCTAGGATATCACGCTCCTCAAAACTTCTCGAATCTATGCTTGATCCAAGTTCCTTGTCCGTCAGCGGCCTCGAGGCCGCAAGTATCTCGGCCCACTTCACATTCCTCTGCTCAGGTCCGCCGTAAAATTTCGTGAGATCCGGCTTGATGACCTTGACTGCGCTGGTCTCCACAAAGTTATCTGTCGATTGCCGGAATTTGCTCAATCCTTCCTCCGCATCCACAGAGTAGAAAGGGCCTTCGTTGGGGATATACTGGTACTGCATGCACTCATTAAAATGAACTTGCGGTATAGAAGCGAAGAAAGCGTCGTGATCAGAAGATAGGGCTTCGGTGAGCGTCGTGATTTGGGAAGAATTGGGCGGTTGCAGGACGGTCCAGGGGTCGCGACAGGTTCCCTGGGTGCAGGACTTGGTGACCAGGAGGATTGCATTGAGGCGGGTGAGCAGTCGCTGGTGTGAGGTGTCAGTGGAGTTTATCAGATTGACGAGTTCGTAAGGGTCATCCTATCTCGAGTCAGCTCCTGAATAAGCTTGATCCTGGTAAAGTCGTTGCCTACCTGAGTGTTTCAGAGCTCCATCTCGTTGGTGCACCACTTCACAAATAACCATGAGAACTCATTCCCAACCAACCGCAGAGTCTTGTAGCTGTTGTCTAGAATCGTCCCAACTTCAGACGCAGCGGGTGCCTCAATGATTCTGGAGCCCCAGAACTCCACGTTCAGCAATTCCCTGCCCACCCCTTGGTTCTGGCTTTTGTAGCCTGAGTCAGGCTGAAGCCATTGGCCAAAGAGACTGCGTCCATCGAGAAATGGAGGAAAGTCTTCGGGGTTGACTCCAGCAATTTCTAGGAATGTTGGAGCGAGATCAACATGCGATCCGGGGAGAGAAGATTTGACGCCGCTGGGCACTCCAGGGCCTCGGACAACAAATGGGAGGTTTGTGTCGTCTGCGTACGGAGTCGCTTTACCGGCTGCGACACGGTTGGCTCCGATTGTCCAACCGTTGTCTGTGGTGTAGATGAGTATCACTTCCATTAGAACTTTATCTTCCAGCCTTTTTGCGGAAACTTACTGTAGGTATTTCCACTGATTTGCTTGTCCTCCAGCAACTGCACAACAGCTTCAATGATCTCGTCTACTCCCTGAAGCGATTCGATTCTCTGACGGAATAGCCAATCACCTTGCGCTATTTCTGTCTCGTTCAACTGGCGTAAATTCTTCATCCAATTGGACTTTTGCATTTGAAGTTCATCTGGGGGGTTCCAGTTGGGGGGCTTTGGAGAAGTGACGTTGGGAAAGAGGCCCTTGTGTCGGAGAAGTGGGACTGGAGCGTAGAAGTTGTAGTTTTCATGTGGAACGGTGGGGGCTATCTTCAAGAAGAACGGCTTTTCCTGAGATGTAAGATACTCGAGCCTGTCTAGACTACAGTCAATTAGTCAGAGTGGAGTTGCCTGTGATTTGAAGAACTTAAGACTGTGCTTGAACAATGTCTGTTTGGTGGAAGCCGGGGTAATGTCGTGGTCGCTCGCCGTTCTCGGACATCACAATGTTGTTGAAGTCCATTGTGTAAGGGTCCGTCTTGTGACCAGATCAGCCGTCTTCTCCAACCAGATGGTCGATCTATGCAACTCACTAGACTATTGATGAAGTCCCAGCCTTTCGGTGCCGGACTGTTATAGTTAACTGTGTTGTATCCGTTGAGAAGTTTTCCTATATCTGTCTCTCTGAATCAGCTATGTCCTTTGGTGCGGAGTTGCCGAGACTGACTTTCTTACATTCAACTCTATAGCCTGCCTTCTTCAGCCAATGCGGCAAGTAGTCGTTGTCTTCGCCGGCTAGAGTCCATTTATCGTAACTCCCTCTTCACCAAATCTTAGTCTCGGCAAGAATCAATCTACACGGGCCGCGAAACCTACCCTGCATCGCTAACATGTGTGATGTTGGTATTGTGGCTCTGCTGACCTCGCAACATACCTGCACGGCTGGGACAGCATTGCGCTGCGGTGGTCCAGTGATTGGTGAACTCAGTTCCTTTTGAGATCAGCTCACGATGTAGAATGCTTTGAAAATCAGTTGAGCCAAGCCGGCGGTCCTGATCATCTGTCATGATGAATACGATGTTGGGCTTTTTCGGCCTTAGTAATGCTGAAGACACCATGCTTGCTGCCATGATGGCATGGAAAAAGTGAGATGACCGCATGGTTTGAAGTCACGAATGCAGTGATCAAAGCTAGGTTTGAAAGTTTTGAGACAATGGTACTACAGAAGTTGGAAAGGAACGTCAGGGAGGCCGTTCGGTCTTATCGACGCTTATTTAGACATCCGGTGTTTTTGTTGATCTCGCAGGATCTCGCCGGAAATCGGCCGTTGTCATTCGTGCCACCCGTACAAAATTGAATGATCGTTGTCAGTTCAACATCATGGATCGTACCCGTTCGTCCTGTCGGCTATCGGCCGGGCGGCCAGGACAAGTTAGCTCAATGCAACAATTCCCGCGATGGTGATGTTGCACCCCTCAAATCACCACATCACAGCAGCAACGAGCCCGTTTTTCTAGAAGAATCCAAGCACACTTTTGATGCATAATTGGTTCTGCCCATTGCGCTAACTGGCGTGGACTACTCGGCGCCGCAATCATCGGAGTTGTCCTTGGCGGCGTACTGTCAAGATCGACAGAGAGGACTCTGGCTTTTCGAACCGTTTGCAGACCCTCCCCTTTATATTTCCGTGAGGTCTGTGGTGACAACTATCTGAACAATCCTAGCAGCTGATTTATTCGGTTTAATATTACGCTCTCCACACTAAAGGATCGCTGTAAGGACTTCGCCCCAGCCTCAGTAATCCCCGCTACCGCAAAAAAGCTGAAGTCTGATTCTCTTTGCGACCCAAAACATCAATTCGGCCTGAATGCGGGTGTGCGCGTTATCCCAATTCAGATTTGATTGTAGTATCCGTAAAGCTGCAAGTTTCGCACGCTGCATGAGAACTACCGCTTTATGCTACCGGCGCACACCGATTCGCGTTTCAGTATTCGTAAAGCACCCCGTGTCTCTTGGTCTGCGATTGCTGACTTCGACTCCACCGAGAAAATGTGCCCGTACCTACTTACAGCTGTGCAGGCGTTTCTTCAATTTCTTGGCGTTTTGAAGCATCGTAAGTTTTTTCGGAACTATCCTTTATCTCATGAGTCGAGTCTTTGGCTCTCAGAGATGCTACTATCGTCTGTAGTCCGTCGACGGTATTGCTGAGCGAGCATGGAATACCTGCCTGCAACAGAGTCAGGAAACGAAACTACTGTCAGAATCTGATACTGTTTCCAGGCGCAAGCGGGCACGAATCACACTCGTGACGATACCCCGCTACGGAGATCATGTTTCATTCTCCAAATGCTCTCTTTAAGGCCCAAGTCGGGGTGCCCTTGTAGGTACCCGATAGCGATTTGCGTGCTACCCGAATACCCGGCTCGGTGATAGCTAATGACTAGCTTATCCATGGAACATTTCATATACATGCGAACATGCCTGCGCAAAGGGGCTCATGATAGTTATTACGCGAATGCTTTTCAGCGAGTGAAGGTGCCAAGCCGGGGAGTTAGCGCAGGCCGACAGCTGATTCCAAGAGTCTGTTAACCCACAAGCGAGATGGCCGATGGAAAGATCCGAGTGGGATGAACAGGGGCCACTACCGATCTTGGGCGGAGCTCCATCAGGTTGACAAAATCAGTGAGGCTCAGCTTGTTGCGTACCGTGAAGTTGACTCGTGTGTTAGTATCCGTAGAAAATTGTGCGCATATTACATCGGCTACTGATGTCGCGATTGGCCCAGTCATGCTTAATCATCTCCGTACGCTTTGAAAAACCTTCAACGCCGACGTAGCGACTTCATGACGGACGACGAAGATACAGCTCGTGCTAACCTCAATTGCATCCGAAGCAGCCGGAGCTGTCAGTTTGTCACTAACCTTCCCCGCGGGTCACCGAATCCACGGTTTGTCCGACCTTTGACGAACACGTCTGCGCCGCCGCAACATGATCTACTGTCTGGAAATAATTAACTTGCAACATGGGACGGATATTGGGCTGCAAATGGCTCAGGATGTTCACACGAGAGATTTGGGGCTAACGGCTTCGTGGGGGCTTTTTTCTCCTTCGGCTGATATGTGAGGGATCATTTAAGCCGCGAATCATGTCTCAGCCGGTGGTATGTAGGGCTCTGTATTTGAGGGTGGGATGTGCGATAAACTTTCTGGAAACAATTTCTTCGTTACAGGAGAGAACTTTAAACTGCGCTTGTTCGTAAAGATGCGGGAGGAGTAGTCCGTTTTGGGATTGGGAAGAGATTTTGGGGCGGACATATCCGTGAGAAAGAGTGGTAAATGGCATCCGTGCCGGCCGAGAGCAAGGTTGCTCCCTGGCCCCCAGCTTCGGCTTTGGACCCCTGAGTGGCTAACGCACACCAACGAACCGTCCGGACTTTAATGAGTCCTCCATAGTCCGGGCAGCAAATCCCTTCCTACGCAGCCTTTTTACCACTTGAGCCTCCAGTATAGACTTTAGACTAGAGCTACCGTTTGCGAGGTATTCGGCCAAGAACCCTTACTGAAGGATTTAGAGTGGCCCCCCTTTACCCCTGAGCTATGCCACCTTGGCCCGAAAGCTTGTCAAGGACGTTCTCTCTCGAGTTCTCCGCGTGGTGACTGAAACTCGTTTGATGATGGAAGGACTTACGAATCGGTATCTGATCATCATGCAGTTCATCAAAAGTATATAGCTAGGTCGTCCCGCCACATCAGACGGCTTTGGTTACGAAGTTCTTCATCCGCTCAAGCATTTTCTTGTCATTCATTCCTTCGTTTCTTGCAACCTGTTGACCAACTCAGCATCTGCATTCTTGAAACATTTCGCCAAGATGGCCCTATCCATTCTTTCCGCTTCTCTTATGCTTGCCAGCATCGTCGCCGGTCAGACGCCTGGTAATGCAACCGATAACCACCCCAAACTTGAAACATTCCGCTGCACCGTCAAGGACGGATGCGTGAAGAAGACCAACTTCATTGTCGCCGACTCCAGCCAGCATCAGATCAACACCAAGGAGGGCGTCAGCTGCCTCACTGGCAACAACCCGCCCAACGTTACCGCCTGCCCCAACGCTGAGGATTGTGCAAAGAACTGCATCATCCAGGGCATCACCGACTATGCCGATAAGGGTGTCACAACCTCGGGCACTGACCTCCGCATGCAGATCCTCAAGGATGGCAACAAGGTCTCTCCCCGTGTGTATCTGCTCGAAGAGAACAAGCAGCGCTACGAGATGCTGCATCTTACCGGCAACGAGTTCACTTTCGATGTCGACATGGTGAAGCTGCCTTGTGGCATGAACAGCGCGCTGTACCTCTCTGAGATGTTGCCTGATGGCGGCAAGAACACCAGCGTACTGAACAAGGCCGGCCCCGCTTACGGCACTGGATACTGCGATGCCCAATGTTTCAAGACGTCCTTCATCAACGGAGTCGTAAGTACTTTGACTGCTGCGCACGGTCAAGAACCTCGACTAACAAAATCTGCAGGGTAACATTGACGGCAAGGGTTCATGCTGCAATGAGCTCGATATCTGGGAGGCCAACTCTCGCGCCACTCACATTGCTCCTCACACCTGCAACAAGCCCGGTCTGTACCAGTGCACCGGCGACGAGTGCGAGAAGACCGGCGTCTGCGACAAGTCCGGCTGCTCATGGAACCCGTACAAGGTCGGTGGCAATGACACCACCTTCTACGGCAGGGGCGCCAACTTCAAGGTCGACACGACCAGAAAGTTCACCGTCGTCACCCAGTTCCCCGCCCAAGACGGAAAGCTCAAGTCGCTCCACCGCTTGTACATCCAGGACGGCAAGGTCGTGACCAGCAACGTCGTCCAAATCGAGGGTCCCCCGAAGATCAACTTCATGAACGACGACTACTGCAAGGCTACCGGTGCCGACCAGTTCATGACTCTGGGTGGCATGACTGGCATGGGCGAGTCCATGACCCGCGGCATGGTCCTGGCCATGAGCATCTGGTGGGACGACGCGACTGCGATGGAGTGGCTCGATACTAATGCTGCTGGCCCTTGCAACGCCACGGAGGGATTCCCCGACTCCATTGTCAAGGTTGAGCCCAACCCTGAGGTGACTTTCAGCAACATCCGCTTTGGCGAGATCAACTCTACCATGAACATGAGGTTGTAAATAGCGTGTATCTTCAGTTCAGAACTGTAAATATTAGCCTTTGTCGGGTGCAAATACATCAAGATATTGTAACAATTACTCCCACTTTTATTAAGAGCCGAGATGATTTAGGCTTTACTGGCTGATGCTGTTCGTGATTGCTATCTCTCTGTCGCAACCGTGCGCGTGACTTCGATACCAACATCATTTGGAGACCCGCGACCAGAGTTTCTGAAAGTCTCAACTTCCACAAAAGCGCGGTTCTGAGGTGTGCCCTTCTTCCGTTTCAAGTCTCCCAGACCTTGCATTTCCCAAGACAAGTTCTCGTCACTGTCCGACATTTGCTTAAACCCATCGCTTCGGACATGAGACGCATGTTGACCGGGTCGACTTCCAATCGTTGCAGGGCCTTGCGACTTTGACGGCGCAGTGCCGGTCGTTCGTGAACCACTGCCAATTGATAGACTAAACCATCGCACTACGGTGCGATCGAACACTGGGCGTAGCATAGGACTCGAGGCCACCATGACGGCGATACCCGACTGAAGCACGCCACTGACAGACGCAGACGCGAAACCTTTAGTGATATTGACGAAATCCGCCGTCAGAGTGTAATACAGGCGAACGCCTGAGAAGATGATGGTGCCAGTGTGGTCAGGTAAGTCCCAAATAACTCCCCTTTCTGGTTATCCCGACAAGGTTGACATCGACTCACATAAATCCAGCACCAAAGACGACGCAAGTCGCAATTTTGTGTGCTCTAGCCATCTGGAGGCCGCTGACAACCTTGATGGGAAGGACCACAATGACAACGTCGGTAATGATGTCGAATATTGCAACAGCACTGAAGGCGACTGTATAATTGCCACACCCAGTTTTGGTGATGTAGATGTCCCAAGCGCTTTGGATTGGCTGGCAGACGACGAAACCCAACAACGCTGTGTACAATGCCCAGACAGAGGACAGGAAGATGGCAACCCAGCTAGTGTATCGAAACCACGTACTACTACGCGAGAAGATCCGCTGCATCAGAACGACAATGCTGAGCTTGATTGCCAGCAGCTCACTCGCGTACATGACTTGTGCGGCAAGGAATATCTTGACAAAGTGGGAGACGTGTAAGTCGGGATCCAGAACCTCAACGTCATGTCCTGCACCGCCAAGTACACCTCCTGGTATACACGCAAGTCAGCATTCAAGCCTCCTCTGTGTACATACCGTCGATAGCGGAAATAGGCATGGGGTATTTTACCCAGGATAAAACTCGTCGCGACGCCGTAGTAGAGTACCTGGTTGAAAAGGTCTGTTAAACAGTCCCAAGCTTCAAAGCGCGAATACTGGGCTCAGGGAAATACATACCTGCCCGGCGAAATACAAACAATCTTCCAATTGAAACGAGTTTCCGGTGATCTGACGGGCAATGAGGCGCATTATCGTCCAGAGGGTCGTTAGCACCATCATGATACCAGCTGTGACCACAAGCGATGCCCCATCCTGTGTCATATGCGGATACCTTTCCGTGATGGTGATGGAAGACTCCTGTCTGACATCGAATAGAAGAGATGTGATTGCCTCCATGTTATCTCTTCTCGGTCGGTGACTACCTATAACAAAGAGACACCATATTTTGATGGAAAATGCATCACCTTGACGATCATAACGAGCACTTTGTGTGGCTTATACCAAAAGCCGCGGGATGGCACACCATTACTTAAGAGGTACGTCTGCGCGTGGTCAAAGTCTTTCTCGTTTCTACACGCTTGCTTCTTGCCATGGCCAAGGCGGATGTTCTCCCGATGAAGACCGCCCTGCACCAACTTCCATCGGTAGAAAATCTTCTCGCTTCCGCCATATCACGCTCGATATCTTCCCCCCCCCCCCCCCCCCCCCCCCCCCGGTTTTCCGTTAAGCAGGGCCTCTGAAGTCGTCGGGTGAGGCAACAAACCCCTGTCTACTCCAAGCCCGCGGTTCCACAATTGCATGTCTTCGTTGCAACATCGAACCAACGGAACCGAGTACGACCCTCTGTGCTAGCCCTCTTCAGGAAGCCAGATTGGTATGAAAACCGCACATTCCCCCAGTCTGTATGCAAGAGAAATTTTCCAGGAAGAGGCACAGCTCACCAACCAACTCTCCGTAGGATCAAACCCCGGATCGTGGAACCTAGCCGGTGCTTGGCGAAGAACCAACAGAGATTAAGTCGCGCTCTAGATGCTCTGATCGAGTCGGGGAGCTAGGTATAAACATCCGAAAGATAGGGTTTCTGTCTGTCGGCCAATGGAATGAGGTGGTTTAGAGAGATTGGGGGGCAAGAATACCGCGGCACTGACCCAAGAAGCAATGTGCGCCGATGCGGGCCAGCAGATGCTTGAGTCTCAATGTCGCGGGATCAAAGTAACAAACTAGAAATGCGTTGTGCAATCCAGACAACTCTGTGCGGTCGTACACTATGCCAAGTCTTTCCTCGACAAGAATGGTCCGGGTAGTTGAGTTTCCATGCCGCTAAGTTGCATCAAGGAAATGCACCTCTGGATGCCGGGTAACATGCAGAAAACAGCTCACTTGGAGCTTGCTGCATCTCTTCCAAGGGTCGACATCACGAGCGGATCACACGGAAATGAATTACGCATTTGTTCATCGCTCCCATGGTGCCATGTAGCCCGATGGCTTTCGGGTTTTGCTTCTAATATTAACCCAATGACCCATGAATCTCAGGCTTTCGAGTGAACCTTTTCACACGACGAAACTGCAGCAATCTACCATTAATTAAGCCTACGAATCTCTTCAATTGTCTTGATGTCTGCGCCGGGACCCAAAACCATGCAATTCTGGGACTGTATTGTTGTGGGCGGGGGCATTGCCGGGTCCGTCGTCTCAAACCGACTCCTCCAGCATGAACCCGCCCTCAAGATCTTGCTCATCGAGGCCGGTCCCAACACCCATGCCGTCGAGAACATCGAATGGATTGACATGAGCAGCGCGATCGGCGGGGAGTACGACTGGGGCTTTTCATCGGTACCGCAGGTAAACCTCGATAACAGAGAGATCGTCTCGCCTGTGGGGAAAGGCCTCGGAGGAGGCACGATCATTAATGGAGGTCAGCGCGCAGATGACTTACTTGTTACCGTAGATACAGAAAGCTGATGTTTACTCCAGCTGCTTGGGCTCGCGGCCACATGGTTGACTACGACATCTGGGCCGAGCGAGTTGGCGATGAGAGGTGGAGCTACGAGGGCCAGTTGCCGTACATGCGCAAGACCGAGACGCTCTTTGACAACTCGACAAACCCTCTGGCACATGGCCACAGTGGCCCTATCAAGATCCAGTCTCCCGGTTCGACCGATAGGGTGTTTCCCCTGCGTGATGCTCTGCTCGACTCCTGGAAAGAGCTTGGTGTCGATGCGCTCTCACAGTTTGACAACAACGCCGGAAACAACCTGGGCGTCGCAGATCTGCAAGAGAACCGCGACAAAGGGAAGAGGCGGTTAGCTTCGCTCAGGTACTCTCTTGAAAGGGTTACAGTGCTAACCGACAGCCTTGTTGCAAAGGTCTTGGTCGAGAAGTCGGCCACGGGCGACCTCGTCTCCCGCGGCGTTCAACTTGCCAACGGAACACAGATCCTCGGCCACGAGACCATCTTAGCCGCCGGCGCCTACCGCACGCCGCAAATCTTGATGTTATCCGGCATCGGGCCTGCCGAGACATTGAACAAGTTCGAGATCCCGGTCGTCCTCGACCAGCCCGCAGTCGGCAAGAACTTCCACGACCACGTCCTGATCCCCACCGTCTGGCAGCTGAAGAACGCCTCAGCGGGCTACTCTAAGGAATCCGGCAACCCCGTGTTCAACCAGTCCCAGTACGGCCAGGGCGCCTTCATCGACTTTATGACCGTCGTCTCGCTGCCCAAAGACGGCCTCAAAGCCGCGATCGAGCAGGACGAGGGGCCGATCACCGACCCCGCCGCGCACCCACTGCTGAACCAGGACCGAGCGCACTCCTCGCACCTGCTGCAGTACTCCGGGGTCTCGGCCGACGGGTCCGCCGTGCTGATGATCTCCGTCGTCTTCATCAACTCCGCCCGCGGCTCCGTCACGATCCAGTCCGCGGATATTAATGACACGCCGCTCATCGACCCCAACTTCCTGGGCACGGCCGTTGACCGCTACGCCGCGCGGGAGACGATCCGCCGCAATATCAGGCTGTTGACTTCGAACGAGACGGTGCTCGGCCGGGAGATCATCGCTGGCGAGCTGGCTGCCAGCCCGTTGACGGCGGACTCGACGGACGAGGAGATTGATGCCCGGGTGCGGGAAATGGCAGGGTATGTTGTTAGCTCTCCCTGGTGTTTGGTGAATATGTGGTTTCGGTGCTAATTGCTGTAAAGGGGATGTTACCATCCGGCCGGAACTGCGTCGATGGGCACAGTCGTGGATACAGAACTGCGCGTCATTGGGGTTTCTGGCCTCCGCGTTATTGACACTTCTGTCTTTCCGGTCTCTGTCTCGGCGAACTTGCAGGTCGCGACATACGCTTTGGCAGAACAGGCAGCAGAAATCATCTTCTCTGCCATGAAGAAGCAATGATTTAGGGTGCATTCCAGTGCTTGATGAAGGGCCTCCTTACTAACGTGCATTTAATGGTTGATCTGGGCATAGGCTTTGCAGAGTTGCGAGCAAAGAGAGTTCACCTGTCCAGGGCCACCAATCGAAGTTGCAGGATTTGAAGTTGAAAAGAGTCATGCGAGGGGCATGCGGTCCTGTCACTGCAACAGACAGGTACATAGGCATGAATTGACTCGATCTGAGCCAGACGATATAGACTCTTGGAATAATGAGCAACGGCCTCAATGCATTCTTCTTGCAATCTTTGTCAAAGGGGTTAGACTTTCTCGTGTCAATTAGCTTGAAAAAAGAGGCTGAAGTGCACCAGTAACGACAGATTTTGGAACCAACGGTCAGTCCGTCTCTGTGGTAAGCGCCACTACTGGTATGATCCCGGGAAGAGCAAAGATGAGCGGGACGTGATACGAAGCAGTCGCATAGACTGTTAATAACGCTGTCCCTATCTTGCCTAACTTGTCAAGAAGTAGCTCCCGTCGGCTTGCCCCGCCCCAAGTGGGACAAGAGTCGCCCGCACAAGTGATGTTGTTGTATTAACTTGTCGAAACCCAAGGGGAGCCTGAGCAAAAGGCGGATACTCGTGAACGCAGACAGCAACACGGCCCAACATGTGGCCCCTTTCAAAGCCGGATTCAAAGTTTTCTTCAAACCATTCCAACTCTAACTGGCTTATCCCAGGTCTTGGGATTGTGGATAATAAACAAACAATTGCAACAAAAAAAAGGAGTAACTGGAGCATGACTGGAGAAAGACTTTTTTTTCCTGTTGTCGATCATGCCGACGCTAATGAGCCCTGGCGATGCCGAACTATGGAGAAATGAGGCTTTGGAGAGCCCCGTCTGGAGACCGGAGATCTACACAGGATAGTAAACATAAAGGAAAGCCCATCATCACGATGAGGCAGAGTCCGTCCCCATCCCGCCCTACACTCGTTGCCTGATTCCCTTGAGCCGTCACTCTTTACCAACCCCCCTCACCCATCGTCACTCCTTTCGAACTTTCCATAATGCATCTCACCCCCTTCCTCGCCGCCCTCGTCGCGGCCACAACCTCCGTCTCCGCCGCCGTCCTCCCCCGCGCCGAGGCCTGCACCAACCCCGCCGTCCGCAAAGAATGGCGCGAACTCGCCCCGGCCGAGAAAGCCGACTACCTCCGCGCGGCAGTCTGCCTGCGCTCCCTCCCGCACCAAAAATACGCCCCCTACGAAGCCGTCGTCACGCGCATGGACGACCTCACCTTCACCCACTGGGCGCTGCAATCGCGCATCCACTTCGTCGCAAACTTCCTCCCCTGGCACCGCTGGTTCGTCCAGCTCCACGAGGACCTTCTCCGGAACGAGTGCAACTACACCGGCGTGCAGCCCTACTGGGACTGGACCATCGACGCGGACGCGCGCGCGGTGCCGAGCTCGCCGCTCTTCGACGCCGAAACGGGGTTCGGGGGGGACGGCCAGTTCACGGGGAGCGACGTGCCGGGGTTCCAGAGATGTGTGGTCGACGGCCCGTTTGCGAATACGAATTTGACGCTGAGCATGGGCTGGCCGGATGTCGGGGAGCCGGGGAACAGGCTGCACTGCCTGACGCGCGAGTTTAACAGCGGCGACGGGGCGGACGAGAACGGGGTGACGATTGTGGGGGACATGCAGGCGGGCGCGTTTGATTCGAGGGTGATGAATACGATTTATGCGTTTGAGGGGTTTGGGGATATGGTGACTATGCTGGAGGGCCTGCCGCACGCACAGGGTGAGTCTTTGCGTTTCTCTCCAAAGTAATGAGAGACGAATGCTGACGAGTCGTGCAGTTCACAGCATCATCTATGGCGACATGGGCCCGGCCACCTCGCCCAACGAGCCGCTCTTCTTCCTGCACCACGCCAACGTCGACCGCGTCTGGGCCAAGGTTCGTTCTTTCATCGAAAACACTCCAAGTCCAGTGTGAATGAGTCGCTGACACCCATTGAACAGTGGCAAGGCCGAAATGCGACCCGCCTGGCCGACTACACCGGCTTCCAGGACACGGACAAGATCTACCCGGCCGCCATCACCGACAGCATGCCAGTGCTGGAGCTCGCCGAGACGGATCTCCTCGTGCGGGATTACATGGACACGCTATCTGGTCCTTTGTGCTACGCCTACTCATCCATGTAAAAATAGGAGGAATAAAAAAACAAAGGAAAGGGGGGGAGGCAAGCCATCATGAGCCTGAAGCGGGCGTAATCTTTATACCATAATAAATTAGTTTTAAAAAGACAACAATATCATCAATCAGTTTGAGATTGGCGGCTGATGTAGAAGCTGAATATGAACGCAGTCGAAGTAGTCGTGCGTGTGTGTAATGTCATTGGACACTAAACCCGCAATCCCGGGACCGCCTCATGGATCGATCTATCTGGAAAGGGGAGCAGACTCATCCTCTCCAAAAAGTAAACTCCAGCACCGCCGCATGAACCCGCTTCACCCAGTCCCCGAACTACATCTGACTTTTGCAGCTCAACTTACACATATTGGGTGATCCTCCCCCATGGTTCATTCGAAATGGGAACACTGTAAACTCTCATGCTGGACTGAACGCTAAACTCCCGGTCACGCCGGGACCCTCGCACCTTTTCCCCTAGGGTCTCTCCCCGCAGCTCGTTCTCCTCCACCTTACCAACCACACTGTGGCTGATGACGCACAGACCACCGCTTATCGCAATCAGCATCCATCAGCGGCTTCCTCCAAGTCGGCTACGTCGGGAAATGACGGAAGGGATTTAGAGGTGCGGGGGGAAGCAAGCTGCGAAGCACATGGCACGATCGGATGAAACAGGCGTAGCATGAGCTGTCGCGCGTCCGCTTGACCAGCACCACGCGGTCCCGGAGCTACGGACGACAACGTTAGGTTATTTAGCTGCAGCCGGGTGCGAATCATCACATGCGCGCTCTGGGGAAAGGGGGAGGGGGGAGGGGAACAGCAGCAGTTCGGAGCTTTAACATTGGTTCGCTGTTCCGGAGGTTGCATTGGGACTTGAACCTCCGAGATATCCACGAGCGTTGGGAGGCACATGCAGCCGAAGTGTAGTCTGCACGCAAATCACATATGATACTGCCGAAGGGGTGAGGTTGAACTTTTCAGTTGTTTTTTGGGGGTGCCATGTACGCAGGCTTTGCGACGAGCTCGACTTGTTGGTACAGAGCGTGCTCTGCCCAGGTAAAAGACGTGTAAAGGAAAATAGTAGGCCAACTTGCTCCGAGTAGACAGTGCTTCTGTCTCCCGTGTGTAGGTATCAAGTAACTCCCGAGTCCGCACCAGGCGTCGTGGTGGTTCCCCGCCAACGCAACACTCTTGGTGCATTGCAACCAGTCGCGGCGGGTGTGCGCCGCCGCCATCCATGTTTCGTTCCCGAGCCCCGATTGGCGTCGTCACATTACATGACTGCCGAGGCGTCCGTACCCAGCCGAGGTCATCCCCCGTTTCCAAGGGACAAACAGCTTTGGGTCCATGTAGTCTTTTCCTCGTCTTTCTTACACGCGTGCCGCCTGAAATTTTGAGTTCCCGTCCTTGGTGTCGCCCCGTCTGTCGCTCATATCCATAAAAAGCACACGCAATTGTTTCGTTTTTGTTTTTTACGTTTTCAAGCAATATGCGTCTCTGGTGGTGTCTCAACCAAAGAGGGCGGCGCCGCCGGACTCGACGGCCTCGATCTCGGCCATGTCGAGGGGCTGGCGGCGGAAGCGGGCGGGGAGCTCGGAGCGGTCGAAGAAGATGCCGGAGGCGGGCATGACGGGGCCCATCTCGTGGCCGGAGGTGCCGCCGATGCCGGGCTCGCCGTTGCGGATGGAGCGCTGGAGGGGGCCGTGCTGCTGAGCGTGGTCGCGGTAGGAGCTGAAGGAGGTGTGTCTGGCCGGGGCGGAGCCGTTGCCGAAGTTGGGGGGGAGGGTGCCGGTGGGCGAGGCCGGGTGAGGGGCGGGGGTGTGGTCGACGGAGGCTGTTGGCGATCGTCAGTATGGATGTCCATTGTGAAGCGGAGAGAGGGAAGTGGACGTACAGGGAATGGTGCGGCGGCCGAGGAAGCGGATGCTGGGGGTGCGCTCGGCGTGGGCAGCAGCCTGGCGGAGGACTCTGGTCGCGAACATTTCTGCGGTGGTAGGAGAGGTGTGTGGTGAAGAATAAAAAGGTCCGAAGCTGGTCGGTAGTCGCGAGTGTATGTACGTGGGTGGTGGTCCGTCGACTCTCCTCCTTGGTGATAAAGCTGTGCGTGGCGCCGGGCGACTTGTGCTGGGAAGCTTGGTGGGGTTGGGGTGTTGTGCGTTTTGTTGTCTGTGAGTGTTGGGCGAATGCGCGAGGGAGGCTTCGTCGCTTTATCAGCAGGGAGGAGAGCGGGTGGGAGGATTATCTCGGGATTGGGGTGAACGGTGGTGGTTGAGGGAGGAGAGGAAAGGAAGGCGCGGGCGAGGTCGGGACGACGGGCTGTTCTTATTTAATTTTTTTTTCTTTCGCTCTCAGAAGCAAGGTGTGTCGAGCCGAGAGGCCGTGCCTGCCTTGGGACTTGGGTCCTGGGTCCATGGGCCGGCACATGTGCGTGTGCTGTGCCTGCGGTGGTGTGGTACCGTGCCGGCGGCCACCTTCCCTCTTTCCCCCCCTCCCCTCTCCTCTCCTCTCCTCCCCTCTGATTTTTTGTCCTTGGTCCGAAATTCGTCAATTGCAACGGCGTGGTGGGTTGGGTGCCGAAGGTTTTGCATGGTGGTGCGGCGCCTGGCGCGTGTGTCGACCGCTAAACCGGAGTGGACGGTGGACATTGCGCACGTTTAGTGGGCTGTCGCACGGGCAGGTGGCAGGGGGGTACCTAAGGCAGCTGGGCTTGGGTTTGGCAGGCTGCACCGCTGCTGCCAGGGGGGGAGCTACACCACCTACGGTAGGCACCCAACAGGCTAACAGTGTGGAGGGACCGGGGGCATGTCGTCGTTAGGTTGCTGATGTGCTTGC